GGCAAGGGGTGGGGGGGGGCAAGGGGCTGGAGGGTGGCAAGGGGCTGGAGGGGGAGGGGCGGAAGGGTGAGGGGGTGGTAAGGGGCTGGAGGGGGAGGGGGTACAAAGATGAAGCGCTGAGGGCAGATTGCAGCAAAGCTTGGGGGGGTTGGGCAAGGGGCTGTGTGGAGCAGGAGGTGTGAAGCAGGGAAGAGGGTTGGGGGAGGGGGGATAGCTGAGTGTCAGGGCTCAGGGGGGCTGCCCCCGAAGAGTTATGGTGTGGTGGAGGGTGCTGACTTGATGCAAGTGGTGGTGGTGGGGGGGGTGCTATGGGGGAGACAGAAGGGTGAATCTTGAGAAGCTGGGGCTCTGGGGGAAGAAGGGTGCTGTTTTTAGGCTAAAGTAAAGGGTGTGGCTCACTTAACCCAAGACAGTGGTGGTTAGTTAAGGATGGGGTGGGTTGGTAAGAAGGGGGAATGAGGTGTCAAGGTTTGGGGGGCAGAGCCTCTATTGTGGGGAAAGGAGAAACTCTTTGGAGGAGAGCTGGAGCAGACAGTATATCCATGGGGAGAAGGAAACTCTGATGCAGCTCTGTACTAGGCCACCTGTATGGGATGGTTTTGGGTGCCATGGTGATGGGTATCCTGTGTAAGTGCTTTCCCTGAAGTGAGGTGCAGTACTGAGTTTGGGGAAGAGGGATATTATGCTCTAATGGGGCACACATGAACTTTCTGGAGAGGGAGCTGGGTATTCCTCTGCACCTGGTATCCCCTGTACACACAGGATAATGGAGAGAGGCTCTCTTGGGGCAACTCTGGGAGTGACAGAGAAGTAGAGTATTCACTAGTAGCTGGACTCTCTTATTTTTATTCTCTACCCTTGCTCCTGAAATTCTTTGGTTTTGTCTGTAAGGCTGGAAAGGGGTGCATCTAGTTGACTTTCAGGGAACAGTACTGAATCCTGGGCTTGTGTGTGTACAGGAAGGGACACAATTTGACAGTTCAGCTGGTAGATGCTGTCAATGGCATGGGGTGGCTAAGTGGCTGTAAAAATGACTGTCAACAAACTAGAGGAGACTCCTAGGAACAGGGAGATCTGGTACAGGGATTGTTATGAAAGAAAGTAGAACTAGTTCCTATTGTCTGTAAGTGGGTTTGGGAATTGGCCAGTGTCTTTATTATCTTGGAGAGCGTCCTGTTGCATTAATAACATAGCATGTTAAAACTATTAATAAAACACCAGTGTCAGACTCTTTGGGAGACCTGCTCTGAAGTCCATGTGCAAAGCCTGGAGGCATTGTGCCTGCCTGATTTCCTGCAGATTAAGGAATTAAACTTCTGCATCAAATTTCTAATTTAACATTAGTCCAGTTTATTTTTCTAGGGTGCAGTCTCATCCATTTTAGATGACTCAAGCAAAGGCGCTTGCTTTGTACTTTCTCAAACACTGCTAGCTTGGCTAACTCAATATTTGTATTCAGCTGAAACTGGAAGAAGAGAAGGATTTGTTTCAAACAATTGAGTTGATATCTACAATGCTCTTAGCTGGAAATAACTGTCCTTAAACTACTTCCCAAAAGTGGAGTTTGATCTGCTTTTCAGTTGCTAGTTTCCTGTGTTTTATATCTTGCATTTCCTGTAAATTCTTAGTGATTTCCCCTTAAGAGCTGATGCCTTAGTAGTAGTATGCTGATAGGCTGCTTTTCTAGGAGAGGCGGAGACATGGCTAGAGAATGGCTTTGCTTGTCACTAGAAGATTCTAGTACATTTGTTTGCTTGTGTGTTAGGTTATGAAACTTGCCTCAGTAACAGTGTTTCATTGAAGTAGGACGAATTTAACTTGCTGTCTCCAAACACTTCAGATTAAATTATTTTTGCCTACAGTGATTGTAAATCAGACTCTCTGTAGATAGAGATAGGACGTTTATAGGCCAGCTAGGTTTGCTGCCATATTAAGGGGTACAGTTGGGTCAATTATAAAAAATAAATTGCTCTGAATAAGTTACTACTTTAGGAGACTCAGTAATTGAGGGAGATGAGAACTCTTAAACATGGCTCTAATTTCTGACTAGGGAGGTTTGAATCTTGACACCATTTTAAGATGACAGTGAACCTCTTTTTGGTGATGCATCTCAAACTTAGTCATAAATAAAAATCTCTTTTCAGAGATCTTAGGGTGGGGGAGAGTCTTGCAGTTAACAAAGCCATGGGGGATTGGACTCTTGATAAGAACCTAGTAAACTCAAGCTTTATGACTAACTACTGGATTATATTTACTCTGTTTTTCAGGACTAAAGGGAGGTGGTCCCAGCAGTGGTGGATGTGCCAATGGTGGTAACTCGTTCAGCTACACCTTTCATGGAGATCCTCATGCTATGTTTGCAGAGTTTTTTGGTGGGAGGAACCCATTTGATACCTTTTTTGTACAAAGGAATGGAGATGAAGACATGGATGTTGATGACCCTTTCTCCACTTTTCAGATGGGGGGCTTTAGTAACATGGGCTTCCCTCGCTCCCGCTCAGGCCATGAAAGTATACGCAAAAAACAAGACCCTCCTGTCATTCATGATCTGAGGGTTTCCTTGGAGGAGATATACACTGGCTGCACCAAGAAAATGAAAATCTCTCACAAACGACTCAATACAGATGGCAAGACCACACGGAATGAGGACAAGATTCTGACCATTGAAGTCAAACGAGGGTGGAAAGAAGGAACAAAGATTACTTTTCCCAAAGAGGGAGACCAAACAGCAAACAACATTCCAGCTGACATTGTCTTTGTTTTAAAGGACAAGCCACACAATGTCTTTAAGAGAGATGGGTCTGATATTATTTTCCCAGCTAAGATCAGCCTCCGTGAGGTAAGCAAAGGTGTCCGATTCAGTATGGGACTCTAGTGGGTGGCTTGGTTTGAGTTTTAGATAGTGGGAGTAACAAATGGGAATACTGAGATGTCTTCTCTCCCCTACACTTTGTTCAGTATCTAGCTTGAATCCATAATAGGTCACCTGTCTAACTGCTCTCTGGTCTGTATAAAATAAGTTGTTAGCCTCAGGATACTTCCTTGTCATAAGCCACCATTAGAGATAGCAGATCAGAGGCAAACTACTTTATTGAGAAGGTGAACTTTCAACATCCAAACTGACCCACATTGATGGATCAGCAGGAAGGGTTGCCCAACTGTTTGTTGTGGTATATTTGTACAATTTCTAGTGCTATTAATCTGGTGTCTGTATCAGATTAACTCAGCAGGATTCAGAAGAGCCTAACTAGAATAAACAGGCCATCACAATGAAAATCTCTGTGGTTGTTTGGGAAATCAGCTAGAGATTGTGTATGCAGACAGTGTTCTAATTGCCCTGTTTTTATACTTAGGCCCTGTGTGGTTGCACAGTGAATGTGCCGACGCTGGATGGCAGAACCATTCCAATGGTATTTAAAGATGTCATTAAACCTGGGATAAAGCGGCGAATCCCTGGAGAGGGCCTCCCATATCCCAAGAATCCAGACCAGCGAGGGGACCTTATTATAGAATTTGAAGTAAAGTTTCCAGACAGAATTCCACAGGCTTCCAAAAGTGTCCTAGAGCAGATCCTACCAATATAGCAAGGCTGCTCACGGAGAACTGAAATAAGGACACTTTTCCAGAGCAAAAGGTTTTTGGACCATAACCAGGACTTCAGGGTTTCTCATTAGTGGAGGTTGTTGACTTTCACACTAAGTATTTTTCCCCCCAAGAGTATCATCTTCAAAATTGTGCATTCACTTTTCAGTGACTCTAGTCCCAGATCATCACTAGAAGTATTTACATCAGTGAGCAGCTGCTTGTGGGAGGAATCTACAGAACATCTCGTGGTCAAAGCTTTCTTCTGGTGACCAGTTTCCACCCTAGTGCTCAATGTGCTGCCTTCCTTTAACTGGTTACCCATAGACTGGGCATCTGTTTCATTTCATCTCGTGCAGACCTGTAGTTCCTCCATTGGAAAGGGTGAAACAAAAATCTAAAACTGGACTTGCAAGTAAAACAATCTCCAACATCTTTCCTTTGCTGTTGTACTGTGTTGTGTCCCTTGTCACTTCCTACACTGAAGGACTTTCCTACTGGGACACTCTTAAATGTTCTTAACTATTTTTAGTTCCTGTAAGTTGTCAATGTCTTGCTAAGGGTTTCTTAAGTTTTTCCTTCTGTCAGTCGTATTAGAAGGAAGGCACCCTTTGTTTGACCTTAATCTGTGACTCTCTGGAAACATCAGAAGTCCTAATGTCTTTCAGAATGTGAGCCTGAATGAGTAAGCCCTTAGCCAATGTATAATGAGTTTAAACCTAACTACCAATGTTAACAAGGTCTGGTCTAGAAAAAATATGCAAAGGAAAATGGATCTTAAGTATAATACTCTGAATCATTCCCTCTATGAAAGTCTTCCCCCTCGCACAGACATTTTAAGGTCTCTTAGCCTGGTTCCTGGTCATGGGCTGAACAAATAGGAGGCAGCCATTTCTCATTCCAGGTATACTGTACCTAAACAGGATGTTGAGTCTCTTATTCATCATCCTGCATGCAGGGTCAGTGTCAAGACTTATGTTAAAGACTTATTCAGTACACTAATGGACTCTGGACTTTTTTCAAAGGACTCTGATCCTCTGAATTGGTAGCACCAACAGAGAGATCCTTTTTGATAAAAAGGGTTTTTGTTCCTGATACAGGAGCACTGTGGCACTTCCTGTATATATTATATATTTTTTGTATACATTTGTGTAAAGTTGATGTGTGTAATGCAGTAGAGCATCTCCTATTTTATAGGATTGAGTACATTGATAAAGATTCATGAGGGGGTTGTGAGAACATGCTCTCTTAATCCAATGGGGGAGCATGAACCTGGAATGCACTGGAAACTTAACTTGGAATGTTACTGCCATGATGACAGACTGTCAAAGAGCTGTGTCACAATTAAAGTCTCTGTAACTGAAGGAAAAGATCTAGGTGTGTCTGGGGGCAGGATTGGGTATTTGGAATGAGGGACTTATGAAAACATGTCATTAAACTTCAGTGAATTGGGAAAATGCTGTTAGGATTAACTCTTGTTGAATACTGGTTTAGTTACTAACTACCCAGCTTTTGCAGAGTGTATTAGCACTAGCGCTTTTCACGGTTGAGCTAGTGTGGTTCCTATGGTGGAATTACTAGTACAGCCAGTCCGTGCTCATTGGGCTGGGGCCTAGGTCTTTACCCTTTTAATGCTGTGTACTTTCCTTATGCTGCTTTCAGTGTTACCACCGATGGAACAGCTGCACTACTCTGGAACCAAGGGTGGTGCAAAATCTTCTTGTACACATGGCTTCATTAGAAGCGTGGCACCCATAACTTGCACAATAAAGCTTAGAGCCAGGGCTGGGGAGGAAGCTAGGAATTCTTGTCAAGTTAGTCTGTGCATTCTATGCCTCCTCCTGGCTTGAATCACAAATGTACTTTGAGAGGGTGTTCTATACCTTTTTTCCTATGGGAGAGCTCCCATGTGCTAGCACCATGCTGCTTCAGTTGTCTGAGTGGTGGCAAGTTACCATCGTCTCTTCTCTTGTCCTCCCCCACTGTCCCCAAGAAGGATGCCATTTCAAAGTGGCAGGTTTCAAAGTGGATGTCTTAAATACTTGTGGTGGCTTAAAAAGCAAATGGCTACAGACTGTGCTCCATAACACTGCTATTTAAAACTACTCCCCTCATTCCTGTTTCTACTACCTTTTACTGACCTCGCTTATATTTAAGGCTAAGATTTTATCAGGAATATTTTTAGTAAAAGTCATAGACAGGTCACTGGTAAAGAAAAATTAATGGAAGTTGTGAGCTGTCTGTGCCTCTTACTAAAAATATCCCTGACAAAATGGGGATCTGGGGCTCCCCATACTGGCTGAAGCAGTCAGCTGTGCAGGGGCTAGGAGCCACGTGCAGCAGCAGGGGGCTACACTAGAGGTGACCGGAGTACCCTGCAGCTCCCAGCTCCTGACCAGTGTAGGCTGAAGTCACAGACGTGGCTGGAAGTCAGATTCTGTGACTAAATTGTAGCCTTACTTATATTATGTAAACACTCCCCTGGGGGGCTTAAGCCCTGGTCCCTGTGGGCAGAAGCCCTGAAGCCATGGGCAGAGTTGGGAACATGGAGGGGATTTGCCCCCCTTCCCCCCCCCCCCCCCCCCCCCCCAAAAAAAAAAACCTGCAGCACAAGAGCATGGCAGTCCCACGAGCCGCTCCATGCCTTCCCATCTCCTCTCCTCACCCCTTGGTCGGGGCACGGTGGGACAGCTGTAGCTGGTGCCATGGAGCAGACAGCGTTCCCTCCTCTCCTGCTGGTGCTCAGCTTTGAAGCTGCCTCTCCACTCCCCACCCCCTTTTGCTCCCACAGAGGCAGCCAGTAAGAGCCCCCTGGGTGGGGAGACCCAGGTCAGGGGCTGGCAGACCCCTCTGGGAACAGGGACCGCAGGGGAGCCCTCCCAGCACATAGCCCCTAATACCCTTCTCCCTACATCCTGAGGCTACGCCCTCGCTGCCCCCTGCCTAACCCCAGTCCCTAGCCACCCCCATTCTTGTACCCATAGCCACCCCATGTGTGCACACAGTCCTAGCTACCCACTGTCAGCATACAGCCCCTAACTGCCCCCCCTACACCCTAAGCTGTTTTCAAACTTTTTGAGCTAAGCTCCCCACCTCTGCTGTGCCCTGGAGTTTTTATAGCATGTCAAGGGGGGGGGGGGCTCAGAAAAAGGTTGAGAACCCCTTCTCTAATGGAGTTGTAAAAGAGCACGTGAGCTTCATGTGAAAGAATCAGGTGTCGAAGGGGAATTGGTTGTACTTTACTACTATCATTTTACTAGAGATAGTGTTATGTATAACTTCCTCTTCCATTCCTGTTTGCAATATCTAGTATCCCTGTCTCCCTTACAGCACTGGAAAAGTAAGAGTAGGGAAGTATTTATGTATCTCAGCTGGCAGTTTCTCCCCTCTTCTTTTCCTGTCAAGATCCACCATTTTTTGCTCTCTTCTTTTAACAGCCCTGTGGGCTTCTCTTTCAATAGTCTGCCTTGCTCTGTCATCACCTGCTCTTTACTGGATGCTTGATGTTGTTAGCACTGTCTGGTGCCTTTCCTCAATAGCTGCTAGTTCTGGTCCTCCTCCTTGGCTGTAGGCCCTAGTAGCTGCTTATGTTTCTTCCTACAGTGCAGCAACCCCTGCTGGATATAGCTAGACTGACCACTTGTGTCCAAGTGTTCCTTGTACAGAAGTGACTGGCTGTACTTTAAAAGGAAGCGGTGTGACCTACTACTCTCCCATGAATACGTTTGAGAACTTGGTCTAGCACAGCAATATGACCTCATTTGCACCCTGTACAGCTGGAAAACAAAAGCCTACTCTCTGCTAGGGTGACAAATGGGGGAGAGAGACAGGGATGTTAGGGGCAGCACAAATCCTTTTTTTTTAAAGTGTTCAGAGCTGGTTCACCCCATCCCTCGGGCCATGGTTTCTATGGGGGATTCCATGTTGCAATCTGATGTCCATGTCCCAAGCTTCCATATGTTAAGGCTGTCAATCAAGAACCCTGTATTAAGCTGGGCTTCAATCTTGTCTCCCTTCAGCCTTCCTTCATGAGTGGAAACTTTTTGCAATGAAATGATACAAACCCAAATCCTGTCATAGTCCCCCACTTTTCTTAGTCTATGTGTAAATGTTTTAGTGTGCTGTATATTCCATGGGGTCCCTGGCATAAGGTTCTTGGGTGAAGGGTCAGAGAGCAGAAGATAAAATTTGCTGATGTTTAGCACACCACAAGCATTTCATAAACAACTGACCCATAACAATTGTCCCCGGTTAATAAGGTTCATGTGCAGTTACCAGGCTTGCATGCCCATGGAAACTACCTGAACCAGCATACAATGCATGCTAGCCTAATGCATCATAAGAGCATTCCAGCTGGGGGACTATTGTATCAGATTCCACCTATATTTGAAGAATTAAGGTGGCTGTAATATGGTCCATTTCACCCAGATTAGATACGGTCCTCAGGCTCCCAGCAACCCCCTACCTCAGCCAGTCAATGGTACAAAATAGGGAAGCACCGTGCTTTCTGTGTTTATTTTATTATGATAGTGCTTAAGGGCCAATTGAGAACCATCATCTACTGGGCTAGGCACTGTGCAAACAGTAGGTGATGGTATCTACCTTGCAGAGCTTACACTGTAAACAGACAAACCACATACAGTGGGTGGAGGAAGCAGTATAACAAGCAGAGTGAACTATGTGAGAGAAGCAAACATCAGTTCCATGAGTAGTTTTTATTTTGGGTGGGTTTAGTTAGGAGGGGATCAGCTGGATGGGAAGGGGGGGTGAGGGCAGGAGAGAAGAGGTGCAGGTGTGGAGTAAAGCTAAGGTGAAAAAACAGAAGGGGAAAGAATGTTGGAGCAAACAACCACTCAGCATTCAAGCACAGAAACTCCACTAAAAGCTAAACTTCATTATTAAAACTTCATTATTAAAAAGTGTCAGGTATTAAAAGTGCACATCATTGTAAGATTTGAAATGCAAAACTGTACATGTCACAACCCTGAATAACTGCATCCCACCTGTTTCTCATATCTGTTGGAACAAAAGGCACTAGCTACCAAACAGGGAATGTCAAATGCACACCTCCCTTACTAGCTTGCAAACAGTACAATTGTTCGTGTGTATTAGAGTAGTGCCTAGGAGCCTCCAGTTCACCCAGCTATAAAATGGGTACCTACTCCATCAGGTTAGGCAGTCGAACATGGGCCTAGCCAAATCGCTCCCTTGTGTACTGTTGCCTATGAAACTTACATGCCTTAACTGCATCAGCCGGATGAGCCATTGGCTCAGGGGATCTTTGCCTAGGAGCCCCAGCCCACAGACTAGGACCCCATTGTGCTATGTGCTGTACTGCCACTGAACACTCAGTCCCTGCCCCAAAGAGCCAAAAATCAGATAGCTGGACACAGGCAAAAGTACAGGGAAGCAATGACCCGAAGGAAGAGCGCTGTGGAAACCTGAAAGCTCGCTTCTTCCAACAGAAGTTGGTCAAGTAAAAATATTATTACTTCACCCACCCTGTCCCTCCCATCCTGGGACCAACATGGCTACAACACGGCAAACAAGGAAGCAATGAGACAGAATTGGTCAGCATGCTCGGCTGGGGACCCTGATCATTTTGCGGGGAGAGGGGACAATGCACCTGGTACAGGTACTCCACCGATACCTTTGCCTGCTAATTTCTGATTGGCTATTTTCAACCTTCTTGCTTGTGATTGGCTAGGGGAAGCAGCTGGGGCAGAATTGGTTAGTAGGCATTTCCTGCCAGCTCCCCTCCTTCTTCAATGGTATCTTGCTTTTCCACCTCTGAATGGTATCTCCCACTCTCCCTAGGGCTTCTGGATGGTATCTCCCTTCGTTCCGCTTCTTCCCCCCATCTCCTGGGATGGTATCTCCCTTGCTGTTTGGATTGGACGCTTCCATTGCGCTAGGGTTCCGAAGTCTGCCCGCCCAGCTCCCCGCCCCGTCCAGCAGAGCGAGCTGTGATTGGCCAGCGGCTCTGCGCGCTGTGCGGTGATTGGCTAAGGGGCGCGGCGATGCGCCTGCCTGCCCTCCCTCCCCGAGCGATAGGCCCCGGCTGCGCCCGGCCGGAGTTTGGTGGAGGGACGGGACCGGCTCTGTGGGGAGGCGGACGGGGTGAGTCAGGTGCCCTAGAGCGGGGGGATGGGAGCGGGGGAGTCCAGCTCTGAGGGGGGAGGGGAGTGAAGGGCGGTGCCCTAGGGTGGGGGATGGGAGCGGGAGGGAGGGTCCAGCTCTGAGGGGGGATGGGCGTGGGGAAGGTGCCCTAGGGTGGGAGCGAGGGGAGGTGCCCTAGGGTGGGGGGTTGGGAATGGGAGGGCCCAGCTCTGTGGGAGGAGAAGGGTGGCCTCAGCTTTGGGGGGGGGGGGGGGGGGGGGTGTGGGGGGGTGGGGGGCCCGCGCGGGGGTGTGTTGGGGGGGGGGGGGGGGGTGGGGGGGGGGGTTACTGTGCCCTTGAGGGGGGGGTATGTGTGGTGTACTGGTGGCCCAGAAGGCTGGGGGTGCCCCCTGTGGGGTTTATGCCACAGAGGGCCTTGGGGAGGGGCGGAGGCTCATGGCACGTGTGGCTCCGAAGTAGTGGGACTGGGAATAGTACCCAGGAGTCCTGGCGCTGTCCCCTCCTGTAACCACCTCCCCCTTGTGCAAAGGCGTAGGGGTCCCAGCACTGCAGTCTTGAGTAGGCTACAATGCACGTTTGAGGTGATGGGCTGTCCTTGGAGACCAGGGACAACAGTTAAAGCAGGAAACTGGGTGCCGGGACTCCTGGTTACATTCCCAGTGCCATCACCAACTCCCTGTGTGACCAGGAAGTCTTGTTTATACTCAATTTACCTATCTGGAAAATAGGGATAAGGAGACTCAGGTGCCTGGTGGGGTGAGTGAGGATTCATTGGTGTCTGTCTGAAGCACTTTGAGTTCTGCTGATCAGAGATTCTAATATCGACATGGGCAGTGTGGAATCTCCGAATGCCTCTGCAGAACAGGGGGGCGGGCAGCACCCTGTAAATTAGGTTTGGCTTTGGTTTAGTTTCCCCCCCCATATGAAAGATCAAAAGGTTCTGACTTAAGTTCAACGTTTGCTGTGCAAAAACTACTGAAAATTCCCCTTGTTTGTTTGTCTATTTAGTATCTTTTAGCCTGTTCCTCCCTTTACCTTTTCCCAGCTAATGAAGGCAGGTGGTTAGAGTTTTGCGGAGGAGTCTCTGGCGCATAGTGTACCAACAGGAATTAACATCACCCTTTTAGGTGTTTGTTTCTCCGCTGAGTGTGACATGGGGCATGAGGGCAACACAGTGAAGACACGCAAATGCTACAAAACAAAAGAAATAATCATTCCCAGTGTTGATCATCCCTCAAATGAGGTCAACAACCTCTACTGCCTGAGGAGTTGGGGAAACACACAGCAGTCTCTCTGCTACAGGTGGTAAACCACTGAATTAATTATCCCCCAAATCAAATCCCACTCCATGGTCATTCAGGCTCCCAGAGAATGGTGGGGAATGCTTGGGTAGGTATGTTCACTGAAGGCAGCGGGTGCTGCTCCTTCCCCGTGTCTGCTGTTCTGGCTCTGCCGGATCACGTTATAATCTCTTGTCAGCCAGGCTTGGGATTAGTTTTCTCTCACTGCCACAAGAAGGCATTAGGGACTGCTGGTGTTTGCATCACTTGCAGTTTAGGCGGGGGGGGGGGGGGGGGGGAGAGAGGTTTAGTAGAAGTTTGATATGCATGACTGAGCAGCAGTGCCCAGTCGCTGAGTGCACAGAATTCCCTCTATAGCCATGAACAAAACTGTGTCATCTTGCCCTTCAAATTCCAGAATTGCTAGGTGGTGCTGGATTAAGCCTCACATGAGAAGTAGGGAAGTATTGCTCTCCAATTTCAAAGGGGGAAAACGGAGGCACCTTTTGGGGGGATGTATGTGAGGGGAAAGTGACTTGCTCAGCATGTTAGTGAGTTAGGGTGGAACTGGGAATCTGAACTGAGATCTCCTGAGTCCCATGTCTATGCTTTAGCCACAAGATCAGTCAGGACATACAAACATGCACACAGTGCCCTACTTTTACTGGGCAATTTGAAAATCCTTATTTTTTTCTCCCTTCTGATGCCTCCAGGCCCCCCCACCCAGCTCTGTCACCACAGAGGGGTCACTAGTCACAAGTTCCTGGGGCAGGAAACTGCTGCCACTTTAATGGGCAGCACCATTTGTTATCTCCTTCCATTTGGAAGCGGGTGGCCCCAGACCCAGCAGCTGGGGAAAGCCCCCTGAGCATTTCCAGCCATCAAATTTCCTTATTCATCTGAATTGTGAATCCTTTTGTTTTTTTTAAACAACTTTGCCCTAAAGTTCCAAATGCTCCTTAGCAATTCTGTATTTACTTAGCAAACGTCCTGCAATCTAGAAGGGAATAGCTTCACCCTCTCCTGAAAATGTAGCCACTTCTGTGGTGGAGCATAACAGTTGTTCAGCTGCTCACTCTATATGCACACAAACAAAACAAGTGTCTAATGTTTTTATGGTATTAGCATTTCAGAAGCTGGTCAAGATAGCTGCAAACAGAACTTTAGTTCCTCCCTAAATGCAAAGACAGGAATAGCTGTACAAGGAAGTTGTGGAGCAGATACTGGCAGTATTATCTTGCCTGCCCCACAACTGTAGGTTGTGTCTTAGACAAATAAGTGATCTGCCAGTTCTGGCAGGTGCAAAAGTTAGGCATAAAGAGGTAGCAGCCCTAAATTGATTTTATGTGAGTAATACTCTGAAGTTGAAACTTTAAAATAGGTGGTCAATTTATCTGGCCACTTGGGTCCTGTAAGAACTTGGCCTCCTGCATTTTTTGTTTGCTGCTCTTTAGAATAGTATGAGTTGGTTAGTTATGGTAGGCCTGGCCATAATAAGACCAGCGTTTAGTGCTGAGTCTGAATCTGTCTGAGCAGGAGGTCTCAGCTGGGTCTCAAGATCCCCAAAGGGGTGTGGTGCTAAATGGCTGTTTAGCACCAGGAAGTGAAGAACCATGTCCCATGAAACAAGGTTTAAAATGGGCAAAGAGGGCTAGGGTAAGTTCTGGCTCTGTGTCAGTGATCGACACAGTGAGACAGGAAGCATAGAGCTGGAGGTGAAACTAGTAAGCATAAGGAAGAGGAGGAGAGGGGGAAGGGAGGGAGTAGAGGGAAAGACCGATGTTGGCACAGAATAGGATATAAGGAGGATCCTGAGTGAGTTGGGCAGCTAGGGGGAGAACATGGATGTGGAGAAATTCTACAGCATGAGCTGAATCCTCTCTTGGGGAGTGCCGTTAGGAGCTGTGGGTTCTGGGCTGGGTGAGGGGGATGGTGGGTGGTAGTTCTGGAGGCATCTTCCTGCCCTGGGTGATGCTGGGGATCCATTGGACTGAGCAGGTTCATGGCATGGAGTAATCGCTGACAGGCTTGGCTGAGTTCCTCTGCCATTACACCCTTTGAGGAACGCCCTGTAGCCAGTTTCTCTGCTCTGAATCAGCCTGCCAGGGTGCGCTCCACCCTCATTCCAGAACAGAGACGTCGGAGACTCCCGGGCTGGAAGGACTCCCGCCGAGGCTGCCCCTTCCTCCTCCATGTCCTTGCTTCAGGGGTTAGGGCACTCCTAGCCAGCAGCACCAGGATCATCAATCCTGCTGAGCCCCCCTGGAATCCTACTTCCCCTGGGAGTGTTCTTGGAGTGGAAGGGTCAGTATGTGTGTAGCTCTGTGGGCCTGGCATGGATTTTCCTTTGTCTGTGAGGCAGTAGGGCTGGCATTTCCCTGTGGTTGGCTCTCTGCAGTACTCTGAGTCTCTGCTCGCCAGCAGGGCCTGTGGGTTTTACTTTGTTTCCAGGTGGCAACTACACTGTGTTTTGTTTTGTTTTTTTAAATCCTTCAGGGGTCAGGCCCGGTGGGTGTTTCCTGCCTCCACAGCAGCTCAGTCCTGAGGGGGGGAGGAGGGGGAGTGTACTTTTCATTCTCTGCCCATACCCCACGACTTCACCTGCTGCAGCAGTAGGAATCGTGTGAACAGCCCAGCACCACTGGAGGGGCTTTGGTATCAGACATGCTGCTTCCCCTGTGTCTGCTAGTGGAGGGGAGATGCAGGGCCACTGCCAAGCCCTGAGATCACTAGATGCTTACTCATTAGAGAGCTTTGTACTAAATGTGTTTCCAAAGCAGCTAGAAATATCTATGACTGCTTCTCTCTCCATAACTTAGAGCTGTGTATGGGGTCTGGCAGGAGCTGCCACTTGGCTGCTGGCTCCCAGCAGGAGAGCACTGATCTGGGGCTGTACAGTAGGACTTGGGGGAGGCAGGCAAGGGACGGGAAGTTTCCAAAGCTGTCACTCCTCTTTTTACATTATTCTGGTTAATTTTAAAAGTGGCTAAAGCTGTACAGATGAATCAGAATTAAAATAGGCCTTGTCACGCCACGAGTGTGACTCCCCTACCTGTCAGGCTCCCTGAGCTGGGGCTGGATTGGAGCTGATTCCCTAGAGGAGGAATGCTGCATGTCCCATTCCCCAGATTCGCTCCCTCTGTCCTAAGGCTGGATTAGAGCTGATGTCCTAGAGGGGGATGGCCCATGTCCCATTCCCTGACACCCTAGTCAGCCAGTACCGCTTGGCTTTTGTCGTTGATTCCACTACCGGTTTCCTACAATCTTTCCCCTTTGCTTCCTGCAGGTCTCTCCCGTGGGTGACTGATACTCCCTGCTGTCTGGCCACTCCTCCCTCATGCCGCTTGGACTAGGCCGCCGGAAGAAGGCCCCTCCGCTGGTGGAGAATGAGGAGGCTGAGCCCATTCGTGGCAGCTTGGGTGGGGTGGAGGTGGGCAGTGGCGGCAGTGTGGCAGCCCTGCAGCCCGGCCTGCCACCGCCTCCTGCCAGCCTCCGCCCTCGACTGGTGTTCCACACTCAGCTGGCCCATGGCAGTCCCACTGGCAGGATCGAGGGCTTCACCAATGTCAAGGAGCTGTACAGCAAAATTGCAGAGGCTTTCAAGATCCCGCCAGTTGAGGTAGGCGCTGAGCACCCAGGCTGCAGGGTGGGGAGCTCGGAGAGGATGCCCTTCTGCATGGCAGCGCCTAGCCAGCCAGTGGGGTGGGCCCTTTGCGTTGGTGCCTTCTCTGGCTTCGTGGACCAGCACCCTGTGTCAGGCTGTGCTGTGCCCATGGCTTTTTGCCAGTCAGTGACTCTGGGCTCAGTGGCTACATGCCCCCTGAGGTCTGTGCCCAACTGGGCTGAGCCCAGTGGAGCTGGTGCTAGAATGCTGACATAGTGGTTTGAGCATTGGCCTGCTAAACCCAGGGTTGTGAGTTCAATCCTTGTGGGGGCCCTTTAGGGATCTGGGGCAAAAATCTGTCTGGGGATTGGTCCTGCTTTGAGCAGGGGGTTGGACTAGATGACCTCCTGAGGTCCCTTCCAACCCTGATATTCTATGATTTAGGGAGATAAGGTGGGTGAGGTAATATGGGGCCTTCTCAGCAGAGAAGGGGCTGAGGGGCAGTGGGGGAAGCTGTGGTCCAGGGGTTCCTCACTCTGTATCTCTCTTCCCACCTCCCAGGTGATGTTCTGCACCTTAAACACCCACAAAGTGGACATGGACAAGCTGTTGGGTGGCCAGATCGGTCTGGAGGACTTCATCTTTGCACACACAAAGGGCCAGAGGAAGGAGGTGGAGGTCTTCAAGTCCGAAGAGGCCCTGGGCCTGACCATCACTGACAATGGAGCTGGCTACGCATTCATTAAGGTACAGATGACTGAGCTCTGCTCACACCATCCTAGAGCCCAGGAGGCCCTGTCACTGGCTGATTGGGCTGTGGGTGGGGTGCACAGTCTGAGAGGAGGCGTGCTCCTCCCAGACACACAGTGTGGCGTCTTGTCTTGCTCCTTCCCTTCTTATCTGTCTGTCCATCCCCAGAGAGCTGCAGTGTGAGCCCCTGAGCACGAGCCATGCTATGGGTCTTACTGGGGGAGTAGAAACCCCAGCAGCAAACCTGATCACATGGAGCTCCTAGTCCCAGAGACTCTGTCTGAGCCATGTGAACAGTCCTACTGGTCCATCTAGCCCAGTATCCTATCTTCCAACTGTGGCTGGTGCCAGATGCTTCAGAGGGCACAAACAGAACAGGGCAATTTCAAGTGATCCATTCCATCATCCAGTCCCAACTTCTGGCAGTCAGAGGTTTAGGGACACCCAGAGCATGGGGTTGCATTCCTGACCATCTTGGCTAATAGCCATAGATGGACCTATCCTCCATGAACTTATCAAGTTCTTTTTTTGAACCCTGTATAGTTTTGGCCTTCATGGCATCCCCTGGCAATGAGTTCCACAGGTTGACTGTGTGTTAACTTTGTTTTAAACAAGCTGCCTGTTAATTTCATTGGGTGACACCTGGTTCTTGTGTTATGAGAAGGGGTAAATAACACTTCCCAATTCACTTTCTCCACACTGTTCATGATTTTATAGACCTCTATCATATCCTCCCTTAGTTGTCTCTTTTCTGAACAGTCCCAGTCTTTTTAATCTCTCCTCATATAGAAGCTGTGCTATCCCCAATAATTTTTGTTGCCCTTCTCTGTACCTTTCCCAATTCTAATATATCTTCTTTGAGATGGGGCAACCATAAATGCGCCCAGTATTCAAGGTGTGTGAATACCGTGGATTTATATAGTTGCATTATATTTCCTGTCTTATTTTCTGTCCCTTTCCTAATGGCTCCTAACGTTCTTTTTAGCTTTTTTGACTGCCGCTGCACATTGAGCAGATGTTTTCAGAGAACTATCCATGATGACGCCAAGATCTCTTTCTTGAGTGGTAACAGCAAATTTAGACCCGAGCATTTTGTATGTATAGTTGGAATTATGTTTTGCAATGTGCATTACTTTGCATTTATCAACATTGAATTTCATCTGCCATTTTGTTGCCCAATCACTCAGTTTTGTGAGATCCCTTTGTAACTCTTCGCAGTCAGCTTTGGACTTACAAAATTACTCAAGATCGTGATCATCTGCAAATTTTGCCACCTCACTGTTCAGTCCTTTTTCCAGATCATTTATGAATGTTGAACAGTAGAGATCCTTGGGGGACCCTGCTATTTACCTTTCTCCATTGTGAAAAATGACCATTTATTTCTACCCTATGTTTCCTATCTTTTAACCAGTTACTGATCCATGAGGGGACCTTCCCTCTTATCTCATGGCTACTTTTGCTTAAGAGCCTTTGGTGTGGACCTTGTCAAAGGCTTTCTAAAAGATCAACTGGATCACTGTGGTCCACATGCTTATTGACCCCCTCAAAGAATTCTAATAGATTGGTAAAGCATGATTTTCCTTTACAAAAGCCACGTTGACTGTTCCCTCATGTATTGTGTTCATCTCTGTCTGTTTTCAACCAGTTTGCCTGGTTGTGAAGTCCGGCTTACTGGCCTGTAATTGCTAGGATCGCCGCTGGAGCCTTTTTCAAAAATTGATGTCTCATTAGCTGTCCTCCAATTATCTGGTCCAGAGGCTGATTTAAGTGGCAGGTTACATATCACAGTTAGTTCTGCCATTTCATATTTGAGTTCCTTTAGAACTCCTGGATGAATCTCATCTGGTCCTGGTGTTTAATTTGTTCCAATAGCTCTTCTATTGACACCTCAGTCTGGGACAGGTCCTCAGATTTGTCCCCTACAAAGAATGGTTCAGGAGTGGGAATCTCCCTCACGTTCTCTGCAGTGTAGACTGATGCAGAGAATTCATTTAGCTTCTCTGCAATGGCTTTGTCGTCTTTGAGTGCGCCTTTAGCACCTCGATCGTCCAGTGGCCCCACTGATTGTTTGGCAGGCTTCCTGCTTCTGATGTACTTAAAACAATTTTTGCTGTTAGTTTTTGTGTCTTTTGCTAGTTGCTCTTCAAATTCATTTTTGGCCTTAATTATACTTTTACACTTGACCTGATAGTTTTTCTTTCTGTTTTCTTCAGTAGGATTTAACTTCCAATTTTTAAAGGATGCTTTTGGCCTCTAACTGCCTCTTTTACTCAGCTTACAGCTTTTCCTACTTCCCGCCCCCTGCTCTGATCCTAACCTCACTTGGAGTCATTCTCCTTTGGAGGAGCTAGGGGATCAGGGCACCCATCCCTTCCTACCTGAGGCTGCCCTGGTCCTTTCTCCTGCCTTGTCACTTTCTCATATGCTCTGTGTCCCGGATGGTTTTCCCAGGTGTTAGGAGCTGCAGCAGTTCCCTCAGACTAAGAGACCCCTCTGTGCCCCCATAGCACAGTGATAGTGACATCCCTGATCAGACTCTAAACCCCCAAGTAAATGAGAGAGGCCCAAACTAGTGGATCCGTTTGAAAGAACAGAGCTATGCCAACAGAGCAGGGTTGTGGTATTAGAGCACAAATCCTCTTTGGAATCTTACAAAAGATCCCCTGGTACTGTGGTGCATTCGCTAATTCTCAGCTAATGACATTCCCTAAGAAGCTCCAATTCTAGAGTCTAAATCACTGCAGCATGGCTGTTAAGCAGCTGCGTCTTCCACCCAATAAGTGGCTGCATTTCAGCAGTGGTTGAAGTGACTCGTGTATAGACAGAGTCTCAAGTGCCCTGGGATCCCTCAGGGGGACAGGTACAAGGGAGCCTAATTAAATATTATTGAGTTAATCCACAAGATGTGTAGACTCTGCAGCAGCTCCAGCTGGTGAAACCAGAAGGACTGTCAATCATCATGCCTCCTAATGCCATGATCTTTTGTCTCATGGTGCCATTTTGTTAGTGGGAGGCCTTGGGTTCCTAGGCCCTTCTGAAGAGATGTATGATTCCTAGATTCCAAGGCCAGACGGGACCATTGTGATCTAGTCTGTCCTCCTGTGTATAACAGGCCAGAGAACTGCCCCGAAATAATCCCCAGCGCAGATCTTTTAGAGAAACGTCCAGTATTGACTTTAAAATGTTCAGTGATGGAGAATCCACCAGGATCCTTAGTAAATGATTCCAAAGGTTAAATACACTCACTGTTAAAAATGTAACCTTTATTTCCAGTCTGAATTTTGTCTAGTTTCAACTTCCAGCTATTGCGTGGTATTAGACCTTTCGCTGCTACACTGAAGAGCCCATGATCAAATATTTGTCCCCATGTAGGTAATTTACAGACTGTAATTGAGTCACCCATTAAGCTTATCTTTGTTAAGCAAATAGATTGAGCTCCTTGAGTCTGTCGCTATAAGGCAGGTTTTCTAATTCTCTAATAATTGTCGCAGCTCTTCCCTGACCCCCTCTCCAATTTTTCGACTTCCTTCTTGAATTGTGGGCAGCAGAGCTGGACCCAGGATTCCAGCAGGGAGGGGTCACGCCAGTGCTAAATACAGAAGTAAAATAATCTCTCTACTCCTCCTCAAGATTCCCTTGTTTATGCATCGCAGGATCGCGTTAGTTCTTTTGGCCACAATTTTGCACTGGGAGGTCATGTTTAGTTGATTATCCACCTTGCCCCCCAAATCTTTTTCAGAGTCACTGTTTCCTAAGATAGAGTCCCCCGTTGTGTAAGTATGGCCTACGTTTTTTTTTTCCCCCCTAAATATATTCATTTCGCCACATTAAAACACACAGTGCTTGCTTGAGCCCAGTTTACCAAGTGATCCAGATCACTCTGTGATAATGACCTCTCCTCTTCATTATATGCCATTCCCCATTTTGTTTCGTGTCATCTGCAAACTTTGTGAGTGATTTTTGTTTTCTTCCAGGTCACTAATAAAAACATTAAACAATATAGGGGCAAGAACTGATCCCTGTGGGACCATACTAGAACCACACCTGTTCGATGATGATTCCCCATTTACACTTGCATTTTGCGACCTATCAATTAGCCAGCTTTTAGTCCGTTTAAAGTGCGCCATATTAATTTTGTCATTCTAGTTTTTAAATCAAAATGTCATGCGGTACCAAGTCAGATACCTTAGACAGCTCAGTATATTACGTCAACACTATTACCTTTATCGACCAAACTCGTAATCTCATTTAAAAAACAAATCAAGATAGTTTGACAGGATCTATTTTCCATAAATAGACGTTCCACGTTGATTGGCATTAATTATATTGTCTTCCTTTAATTCTTTATTAAGCAAATTCAATATCAACTGCTTCATTATCTTGCCCGGGATCGATGTCAGACTGACGGGCATATAACTACCCATGTCACCCTTTACCCAGTCTTCTGAAATTTTGCTGGTCTTCCAAGACTTATCGAAAATCAACATTAACAGTGCAGCGAGCGTCTCAGCAGCTCTTTTAAAACTCTTGGATGCAAGTTATCTGGACCTGCTGATCTTAAAATGTCTGACTTTAGTAGCTTCTGTTTTAACATTCTCCTGAGATACTAGTGCAGGGGAAAGAGTGTTATCCTATGATACGAATACATCATCTGTTTTTCCCCAAATACAGGACATAAATATTTGTTCTCTTGTGCCTTTTCTGCATTACTATTGATAATTCGATCATTTCCATCTAGTAATAGACCAATATCCTTGTTAGAATTATTTTTGTTCCTAATACACTAAAGAAAACTCCTTCTTGTCCTTAACTCTGCTGGCGCTAGTCTCCTTGTGTCTCTTTTTTCTTCCATTTTCAGTTTTCTACGGTTCCTAACTTATATTCCCTTTCTTTTCTCCTTTCTTCCATTTGTTACATTATTTCTTTATTTTTTATAGCTGCCTTCGCTTCCCCACCAAAGCCGGTCATTTTCTAACCAATACAGTCTTCTTCCTCGATTGTGGCTTTTTGGCCATCTAGTAATGTTCTTAAACACACCCAGTCTTCCTCTCTGCTGATGTGGCTTATAATTCTTTTCAGCTTTGTGAAACTGGCCCTTCTAAAGCACCGAGTATTTATCTCACTGATCTGGATTTCATTCTGTTTGTATTTTATAAATGTGATCAAATCGTGATCCCTTGTACGTAAGTCACCATTAATGTGCTAAGGAAGGACCAAGCTTCTGCTGGGCAAAAATATGTGCGTGAGACTAACTACAAAGGGAAGGCCCCGTGGCCTGATGGGAGCCAGGGTTCCTGGCTCCCGTTCCCTGCTCTGCTGCTGACTCGCTCTGTGACCCTGGAGATGTGTCTGTGCTTCAGTCTCAATTGACCTGTCTTATGGGGTTCTGGGCAGCTTTGCTGAATACAAAGGGCTGTGCACAACCCTGAGCTGAATGGTGTTAGAGCAGAGAAAGGGCTGCTGTTCAGACTCTCTTATCTGGACGCTGCGGGGAGGAAACTGCCACTTAAACTGCCCCAGGACCTGCCGTCTGTGCTGTGAGCCAACCGTCCTGTCTCTTGCTTGCAGAGGATCAAGGAAGGGAGCGTCATAGACCGGATCCAGGTCATCAGTGTGGGCGACATGATTGAGTCCATCAACGGGCAGAGCCTCATCGGCTGCCGGCACTACGAGGTTGCCAAGATGCTCAAGGATCTGCCCAAAGGCCGCACCTTCACGCTGAAGCTAACAGAGCCCCGGAAGGCATTCGGTGAGTGAGCCCCACACGCTGCCCTGGGCAGATGAGGCCACTGGCAGGCTCAGGACGGTTGGAGCATGAGGCATGTCACCAGTCCCTGTGGTCACAAGTTGGTTCCACCTGACGTGTAAAATGAGCGCGGTGGGTCTCAGTCCAGGTCCTAGTAGGGCAGGAGTCCCTGGCTAAGTAACTGGCTCCCCTTGTTGGCAGCCACAGCAGAAAGTATCAAACAGGCCACAGAGACTGAGCTCCCCCATCTCTCTAGAGGGGCTTGTTCCTGGGCAGGCGGGGGGGAGGGGCATGGCAGCAGGGGGCGGTATGTTTGCCATTGGCCCTGCTGAGACCTTCAGCCTCCAGGGCAATCAGTCCAGCACAGAACGCGCTGGGCTTTGTTTTGCACGTTCCGTCCTTCCTCCTTCAGTGAGAAGCCGCATTGGGTGCTTATCTGAGAGCGCCTTTCGTCTTAGCCCAAAGGCCCAAGCCCTGCTGACTGCTGTGGGCACTAAGGGCCATTACCTTCTGTCCTACTCGGCCATTAAATGGGAGATGGGGAGGGGCTTTGCGTCAGGGTTTCCCAATCTGTGGGTCGCCGGAATGTTTGAGGCCCGCGAGGTGGCTCTGGTCCTGTGAGTCTGGCTGTGCTCGCCTCCCTGGTGCCGCTGCTGCCAGGTGAGTGCAAGGTGGGCTTTGCAACCTCCTTCAGGGCCACCCCGGCCAATGTGCTGAGTCACCACAGGCCATTGACATTTACAAATGGGTCCTGAGCCAAAAAAAAGGGTGAGACCCACTGCTTGAGGTGCTGAGCGTGGGGTTTGATGACTTGTCCTGCGGCGTGGTGGCCAGCAGGTGGCACTGTAACCTCACTGCAGCTCCTAGCCATCTGACCTGTGCGGTGTAACCACAGAGTTGGCTGAGCGGTGGGGCAGTTCTGTTGCTTAATTTCAGGTTAGGGCTTTACCAGCCATGTTACTGCAGGGAAGCCTTCCTCGTATTGGGAGAGGGGAAAGGAGGCTTCTGCCGTGGAAGGCAAGTGGGATCTGGAGATTCCTGTAGCAGCTGAGCCTGCATGTGGGCCTTCAGGCAGCTGGCCTGTAAAGCTGCCCCATCTCTGCTTGGACTTGGGGTTAGGTGGCCCTGCCAAGGTATCTGCGAATGACCCCCCCTGTGTACTCAGTGATGAGAGGAGGCGGCTCACAGGCAAGTGGGAGGGACTGGCCCTGCCCTGCGGGCCTCCCCCCCCCCCCTCCCCCCCCCCCCCCATGTCTCTATGGTGGCTTGAGGGAAGGGGTCTGTGCTCGCAGTCCTAAATGTCACTAAGCAGACGGGCCTGTTTCAACCCCAGCAGCTGGGAAGGTGAAGGAGCTCTCCCTACTGATCCCTCAAAGCGCAGGGCTCTCTGCAGGGCTTTGAGTGGAGCCTGGGGGAAAGTCAGGTCCCCAGGATGGTGCTGAAGGCCGGGGGAGACAACTTGGTTCCGGGCTGGACTGTTCCAGCCCCTGTGCTTGTTATCCAGCGCTGGCCTTGTCAGTGGCTCCCAACCGTACCCCAGGGATGGGGATTCCAGCTCTGTTCCGGGCAGACTGCCTCTGATCACGGTGCATCCTCGCCCTCTGCTGTCTGTGCAGCCTTCTCAGAGTCCTCAAATCCAGATTCCTTGGCTGTTGGTAGCATCTCTTCGAACGCTGCACTAAGCCCCGGGTTGGGTCAGTGTTGCTACCCTCACATTGCCCCAGATCACACAGCGAGGCTGTGGAAGTAGAACCCAGGAGCCCTCGTTTGCCAACCTTAACCACTAGGTGGCGCTCCCTCCCTGAGCGAGGGATAGAACCCAGGAGTCCTGGCTCCCAGTCACATCGCGTTCCCTGCTGCTGGTGTCTCAGTTCATTCATCCGCAAGGCCAGCCTGCCACCACGAATTCCTTCCTCCTTAAGTGACTCACTGGCCTCTGATCTGGGAAGGAAGATCATTTTCCACTTGAAGTTATTTCCTCCTTGGCTTATGCTTCTCAGCCCGCACACACGTCCCTGGTTCCTGGAATCTGGTAACTTTCTTCTCCCCTCCCTCTACCGCGTACCAGCTGCATATGTTCATCTCTGGCACTTTGGGAGCCTTGGCACCAGCATCCCTGCCTCTGCTCCTTCCCTGCAGTTCGTTCCATGCTAATTAGTGACAGCTCCATGGTGCTGGCCGTGTGTGCGAACGTCAGGATCCTCTGCTTGTCCGTGGTGGAGAGAGACCAGGTGCCGATGCTCGCTGGCTCTGCTTCGGCGAAGCCACCTGCCAATTGGGTGGCAGGCAAACCTGAGAATGCTAAGCTTAGCTCGGTCCTGCCAGCCCTGTTCTCTGCTCCCTGGACCCACAACTCACTGGTGGTTCAATCCAGCCTCATAACCTGCCCTGCCTTCCAGGGTGCGCTGGACCCTCTGGACCAGGGGCCGCGGGAGGAAAAGCGCCACGCTGTTCCCTCAGAATGCCGGCAGCTAGAGCGCGGGGAGAGCTCTGCTAGCTGCCAAGCGTAGACGGTCTTTTCACCCCTGGAGCTGCCAGAGGGAGACGGAATTTGGGAAGGCCTGGGCAGATCTGGTAGCACCCAGCAGAGGGCAGCAGTGGGTGCACCCCAACATGGGTGTTACAACCTGTTTGCGGGTCGTGCTTGATTCCAGGAGGGGGCGGGAATGTTCTGTGTTCCATCAGCCTGGCCCGAGGGACTGTGCGGCATCAGTGACAGGTCTTTCTCCCTGGGTGCACCCTTCTACCCGTGCCGCGTCCCCCTTACTGCTCTTGGCAGCTCTTTCCTGCTGCCGGGCCCTGGCTCAGCTCATGAGCTCCTGCCGAGGACCCAGATCACCAGCTCTTTGCACAAGCAGCCTCTTGTCCTCTGATCGAAGCAGGGAGGTGGGGGACTGGTTCATCCTGTGCTGGCCCTGTTCAGTTCCCACCTCTTGTAGAAACCCGCCGCAGAGGCATCCACCCGCTAGGCTCTGTGCCAGCCCTGGCTCTCAAGCCTGGAGTGCGCAGTGCTGGACGGACCGCTGGGAGAGCTGCTGCTAGGGAAAGTGCTGGCTTCTGGGGAACAGCTCTAGGCCAGCTCGCTTCGTTTCTTCCCCTCTATGGGCAACTTGGAGCAGCCTCTTGTGTTAATCTTTCTCGCTGGCTATTTCTAGCTCCCGGGCTAAGTGGCTGTTATGTCCCCCATTGAGAGTGTTCAGGACCTTCCCTGTGATCTGGGGAGGGGCCAGCGCCCTGCCCCAGCTGGGGAGACCCTAATCACAGCATTCCCTCAATGCTCTTGAGTGAGACTAATGTACAGGCAGCATGGCTGTGCCCACGCCCCTCAGTCCTCTTTTTGCAGCACCTCCTACCTTCTCCCCGCACACAGCTCTGGCGCTACCCACAGCCCCCCCTGCTTCTCCAGCCCTGCTGATGCCCCTAAGCCCCCATCTGCAGATGCCCTGGGCTCCCCGCAGCCCTGCTGGTGCACCTCAACATCCTCACACAGAGCTCTGCCAATATCCCCTGACTCAGAGACCCCCTGTTTCTCCAGCCGTGGCCCCTTCTCCCACAGCTCTGCCAGTACCCCTGCTATTCCAGTCTTGCACTTACTAGTCGATGTTGGTCATGTGACCTTCTGCGGCTCCTGTGGTCTCTGTGCTTTGCCAGCGCTGGAGTCTTGGCGCAGACATGCCCTGCTCTCCCCTCCCAGGCAGCCCCTGCGCCCTGTCCTGCCCGCTGCTGTGCTGTGGCATGACTGGAAAGGCTGTTCTTTCTCTTGGCTGCAAGCTCTAGGGCAGAGGCCAGAACCCCAGCCTCCCCATGTGGGGCAAACAGCTCCTCCCTGTCTGAAAGGAGCCAAGCTTTCCTGGAAAGGCAGGGCAGGGCCTCTGCATGCCCAGTTAAACACAGCCACCCCCTCCCAGCTTTGGGGGAAGTGCGGGGGATGACAGGAAGCCTCAGAAATGCCAGTGCCAGGAACACCTGGAGCTCCATCCCCACGACGAGCCAAGCCCACGTTCCCGTTAGCAGAGGCAGAACAACTGGGCTTCTGTGCTGGGGCCAGGCTAGTCTTTCTCAGTGCTGTTCCCTGCCCTGGGAGGGCTCTAACGGGGGGGGCTGAGGCAGGCTGACCTGGGGGCCAGTGACCGCTCTTCCCATGGCTTCTGGATCAGTGATTCTCTGTATGTTGGGGGGGGGGGGGGGGGATAGATGCAGGGGTGAAAGTGGGCTGGTACCAGCCCATATGCAGCCAATGTGCTGCCCCTTCCACCCCCTTGCCCTCCCGCTTCCCTCCCCCCCCGGTCGGTGGCCCTGCCAGTAGGCTCCCTACCAACAGGGAGGACGTAAAAGGGGCAGCTGCCCTGGGGCCCGGCTATTTAAAAGGGCCCAGGGCTCCCGGCCCCTGCTACCGCGGCAGCATCCGGAGCCCCGGGCCCTTTTAAATCACTACCGGAGCCCCAGGCGGCACGGGCCAGGCAGTACAGATGGGCTGGCTGTTGGAGACTGATCCCCAGCCCCGCCCCTTCCGCCCAAGGGCCCTGCCCCTTCCGGGGGCCAGGAGCCGGGCCCCCATATTGGTAAGTCTTTTGTGTTACTTTCACCCCTGAATGGTGGTGTGTGTGTGTGTGTGTGTGTGTGTGTGTGTGTGTGTGTATGTATGGGGGGTAGGGTCTGAATAGCCCCCCCCACGATAGCCCCAAAAGGGAAAAATCCTCCGTATCTTTTGGCCCAGAACAATCTCAAACCAAGATCTATTGACACAGTGCAGCCAAGAGCATCTGAGCACCATCATTGCCAGGAGGTGTTGGAGATGGATTGGTCATGTGCTTCAGATGGAAACTGATTCCATCACCAGAGTCGCAATAAGATGGACACCTGAAGGCAAGCGAAAACGAGGCTGCCCGAAAACAACCTGGCGAAGAGCTGTGGAAGCCGAGCTGAAAAACCTTGGGCACAGCTGGGGAGCCGCCGAAAGACTTGCCAGAAACAGACAGGAGTGGAGGAGCTTCGTGTCAGCCCTAATCGCCAGAGGCGTAATAGGGACGTGATGATGATGATGGGCCCCTCCCTATCACCCTGCCCTCCGGGTGTATGGTAGCCGGGCTTCCCAGGGATGTTAATGGCATTCTGCGTCCACCCAGCAGAACAGTGGCTGGGGCTGCTGGGACAGTGGCTGTGTGGGGACCCAAGGGGTTATGCAGGCTCTGGGCCAATCGCTTTTTGCACCATCTCTGGTCCTAGTGTAGATGAGGGCTGGAGGTCTCGTGGTTTGTGATCTGTTAGGAGCCTGCCTCCGGGCTTTGGCCTGGCGTCGGTGCATGAGGCACACACGCGGCAGGGTGGGGTGCCTGCCTGCCACGCCATCCTCTGACTGCGGCTCCAGCCCAAACATGTTGATGTGGCTGGAGGATATTTGTGGCTGAGTCCAGGGCCTTTCCCTCTCCCGCAGCCCGTACTGTGCTAACCACACTGGGAGCGGGCAGGGTGTCCTGGCTCCTCCAGCCCAGCTGCTGCCTGGCTGTGGTGGCTGCTGCTGCTCCAAGGAGTCCTCCTTGGATCCTGGGGAGGGAAGCAGCGTTTTCCATAGGAGACAGACACTGGTGTGTGCTTGGAGGGGCAGGGAGCAGCTGCTAGGGCCAGCGCCAGAGAGCTGGGGAACAGGTGCATGAGGACTGTCAATACCCAAGCAGTGCGTGCCCCCATGAAACTCCTGTACCCCAATGCACCAGGCAGAGCAGTGCTAGCCACCTTACAAGCAGTCGGGGGAGCCTGTACCCTCTAGTGTCCCTGGTGCTAAGGGATCCATGCCCCCTGCAGGGCCACGGGATCCCCTCTTGGAGGTAGAGTCCTAGGAGGAGTTGCATATGGCCCCCGGTCTGTATCTGGTCCTCTTGAGAGACTTGTGACCCTTGGACACATTGTCCACAGTATCTGCTTCCCTCCTCTTAAAAATCACCCCAAAGGGGGTTCTAGCTCTCATGTGGCTGCCTCTGCTGACAGCCTGAGACTACGGCTAATAGGGTGCAGGGGAGTGCTCACTCCTCAGTCTCCCGGTGGTGTCGTCTGCAACTACCAGCACTGGCATTTCTGTCTCCGGGCTAACTTTCAGCGTTGGAGGCGGAGTGGGAATTGGGAGCTGGGGCTGGGGGGAAGAAGAGGGAGAGAAGCAGAGAGCGGAGGATGGGGACAGGAGAGAAGCACAGGGCAGAGCGTTTCTCGCTGAACATGGCAATCAAGTACTGAATATACAATCCCCAACGGTGCAGTTGCCACAGAGGCCAGACTGTCCCCGTCCCTCCCAGTGACGCCAGCGGAGATCTGTAGATCAAGGGAAGAAGTGACTCCAAAATGAATGCCCTGGGCCAGAACTGAACGTGGCATTCTGCCTTCCACACTGAATGAGCGATACATCAGCCCTAGAGCAGGGGCGCGTCTGCCTCAGCTTGCTCCCCTCGCCTGGACGTGGGAGGGTGAATAACCGGCTTTTCCCCCGTGCGTCCTGGCAGCAGTGCACCCACAGAGTCGTCTGGGCTTGAATCTGCTGCAGAACTTTTTTTTTTTTTAATGGGGGAGGGGAAAACCAAAGTCTCTTGACGGGTTTCTTCACAGCCACGGCTGTCGAGCCTACCCGATAGCAGGGACATCTGCCTGAGTCTGCAGGCAGCCTGACACGGGAGCTCGTTTGTCGCCGACGTTTAACGAGGACACTGCAAGAGTTACCGGTCTCACTGCTGCTCGCTTTGGCAGACTCATCGGGCTGGCCTTCTCCCTGGCCATTGGCCGCAGCAGCAGAGAACCGGGTAGCAGGAGCCAGCCCTTGCTGAGGTTTGGACTAAGGAGTTCAGGCCTTCCTCTGCTCCACATTTAATGTCCCCTCTGCCCGAAGGGCGTGGGGAGGTGGAAAAGTGGCAAAGCACCAGCTGCCTCCAAACGCTTTGCCTGGGCAGCTGTGTGCAGGCAGCCCATGGGGAATGTAATACAGAAATAAATAGGGGCTCCTGCAGTGGAGTGTACAGCCTGCTGTATTGGGATGAGGCAGTGAAGTGGGGGCAGCCATGTTGCTGCATGTGTCCCCATCTTCCTTCCCCCCCCCCCCCAGCTGCCGTCCCTCGCCCTCTGGCTCAACACATCCAGGGCCTCTCATCCCATTTCTGAAGGGCAAACTGCAAGTGAAGCAGCCTCTGAAGAGCCTAGGACGAGACGGGACCTCCAGCACCCTGCGCGTGGAGCCCCTCTTGGATAATTCTTGCCCAGCATCTGTGCTCCGCACATAGGATCTCTGCTCCCATGGCCGGCACCCCAGCTGCATGGCCTCCGCCTCCAGACAGTTCTAACAAGCAAGAAAGCGGGGGCCCCCAGGCTGCCCCACTGCCCTTGGGCACCTCCTTGGCACAGCAGTTGGGCTGTGGGAATGTCATTGAGGGGCAGAGAGGAGACCATGGCTAGCAGGAAGCAATGGATGCAGGGGGCTGGTAGGAAAAGGAAAGCAGCCCGCCATGCTCCAGTGCCCCCTCTGGCAGGGACTGACCAACACACAGCCCTGTGCCTAGGCATTTATACCATACTCCTGCTGCCATCTGTGTCCGGCGTGGGCGTTTTAGGGAATGGGCTCCCCCGGACGCCAGAAGCAGGAAAGTGGCTGATCAGATGACATTTTCCCAGATTATTTTTACTCCGTGGGACTGTGGGAAACGTCAGTGGGGCTGGATCTCCATGGCTGTGTGCCCCCGGCACACAGTAACGACTGGCTGGAGAGGCGCATCACAGGCAGCTACTGTTTTAACTGGCCTGAGAAGGGAGTGTATTTTGGAAACACAGCAGCTGGGTTGGTTGTCCCGTGAGGGTTTTAATGGGATGATGCTGAAGCGGCTCTGTCCCTCGTGGGGAGAGGAAACAGAGAGACCAGTGTCCTGTATCAGCTCGAGGGGACGGGGCTGTCCAGGAAAATGCTGGCCGCTCCGGAAGTGCATTGGGAACAGAGGTCCCTGCAGGCGTGGGAGCTGCTGCAGGATGGACCACGGCTTCCCTGGGGATTCCAGGCTGCCCAAGGACAGGAAGAAACCAGTTACGTACTGGAGGAAAGAGGAGCTTGTGGGATCCCGCACTGCTGTTGGCAAGAACTAGACCCACCCATGGGACAGAGAGGCCTGGTCTGAGCGAAGGCCTGGAGGTTCCATGAGGCTTGCACCCAGAGCCAGGGAGAGAATCCAGGAGTCCTGCCTCTCTCTGCTTCTACTAAAAACTCTCTCCTGTTTTAATCAGCTGCCTGTGACGGCAGGGCCGTACCAACTGCATTTTGAAAGCTGCCCTCTGAAGGCAGTTCACGTACCTCTATGTGGGAGGGACTTGGTTTTTCGAAGCTGAGGTGGAACACCTCCTTAACTT